CTAAAAAGAGGATCTATGGGGCTTATAGGTTAATGATAATAAACAGTCTTTATTATAAAATAATTACATATAAAAATAATTAAAACTAAAAATTATATACCATGGATACTGGAAATAAAGTTGCAGAAAACGCTGAAAAAATAATTACTGCAACAAAAGCAAGTTCCTTATAAATAAATCTATTGTTAGAGCATTTTCAGACATAATTTCCTGTAGGGTGTCCAATAAACTTCTCTTCTTCGAGGGGTTAATCATTTACAGTGCAATAAGGCCAGGATGGCCTTATAGTCGTCCGAGAATTGTATTACTACTTAAATAATGTATTCAATCACTAATAAATTAAAACTATAGGATGCCATTTTTTTTAACACACATTTATATTAACTCTCTTCTTTGCTCTCTCTTATTTGATCCTGGCCCTATCAGCGACCAGCTATCAAAACATAAAATTCCCAAAGTTCTCTTGAAGGGCGGCAAAAATTTTTTTTGTCATTCTGTAAAAATAAAATAACCAATTTTGTTAACACTTTAATAAAAATTAAAAATGTATAAACAAATTATGACGTATATATAACTTAAAAAAATTACGTGCTATTGACGTCATATTTATGAATTGTCTGAGACGTAATTTGTAGAGAATAATTATCACCAAAAAATAAATTCGCGGTGACGTCAGTGTGCTAGCTGGGACTGTGATCTTTACGTTGAACAGCATGGTTATGAGACGGCGAAGTAAATAGAGTATGGGGCAAAGCTCTAGGAACAGTAACTCCAGCAATCTGGACTTATTTTAAAATCATGTAGAAAAAAACGTTCAGGACGATTGGGCACTCCTAGTAACTTTTGATGAGCTTACAAAATAGTAATATTACTGATTTAAGATATGAATGACGACTGAGAATAACACTAATATGTAATAATATTGTAAAGTAAGATGTTGTAAATGTAGATAATAAACATTTAAAAATTTCATAACATTGTATATTATAAATATTCAGAAAGTTAATCAATAAATCAACTAGCAACCAGAATGAAATACAATAAATACAAAATTCTTTGTGTTTAAACTTAGAATTTACAACAATCGCAAAAAACGATGTAAGCGACAATTAGAACTAATTGTTTCTTTAAGGTCCCATTATAGTAGGCAACCAGACACACAAATTATAGTATGTTGAGTTGCCTTCATATTAGGATACAACTCGCAATAGTACGCCACTGGTGTTACACCACTGCCCACTTATTTTATATGAATGTGTAACTTAAAGCTTAAAAACGCTGAAAACGATTCTAACTTAATATATTATTTACAACCATTTATGTAATCAAGCCTATATCTAGTGCGGGATAAACAACAACTTTAGCCAAAATATTCTCGAAACATTCTGTATTGTACGTAAGTGAATTTGACCATTGCAGAATTCATTAGGGACTGAAATCGAGATTTATATTTCTTACCAAATGAGGACGAAAGCGGTCTAAGAATGACGTTCTCCTTGATGAGTAAAATCGAAGGTAAAGTGTTCAAAATTATTTTCCATCTCTTCTGTTTTCCTTTGGATTTAATTCAATGCCTGTTGCTGCATTATCCAAAGGAGTAGTTGTTTTCCTGAAGACAACGGTTGCTCATATTATAATGTGACACTTTCTTTGAATTATTTTTATTTTTATTTTGTTTTACATGCTCATCACATTTGAATTGGATCTGTATTCTTATTTAAAAAATATGTGTTTTAATAACCCATAGACAACCATCGATTTTTTACGAGTTGAGAAGCAGGTCCTATATGTCCCTGGAGGATTTACAATGGGCCTAGTGAGGCTTAAATCCATGATATAAAGTAACCCACCCTCCAAACCTTACATCATGTATGAGAAAATAATATACAAATCTACTCAAAATCAACCAAGCACCAAATAATGACAAATTTGAACTGCTTGATTCCTAAAATACAACCAATCTAGGAAGCTTTTGTCCTCATCACGTGGTATACCAGATACATTTTTAATTTTATCCAACACATGACAGTTATGACTGTCATTATTGATGTCATTTTAGGCAAGTAAACTAACACACTAGTGTGTCATAATCCATAACTCACTAGTGAGTTATGGATTTTATAACTCACTAGTGAGTTATGGATTATATAACTCACTAGTGAGTTATGGATTATAACGTTCATATTTAAAGTAGTATTCTATTTATTTATTTCTATTACAAGCAGAATTCTCATTGATATTGAAATTAATGGAAAAAGTTAACGATTTATTCGAATTTGAAGTCATTGTAAAATGCGTTGGTTCATTGGAACCAGACGCTTCCATATCGATACAGCTGCTGATAGTGCTGAAAGACGCCGACATATTAGAATCTTGTATTTTTTCTGCAATTTGTATTTTGTTATGCACCGATTCTTCTAGGTATCCTTCTGCTACCGTCGAGGACTTCCATCCTCCGTGACGCTTCAAATTAGTCATGTTAGCATTGGTCAAAAGAGTTACCGAAGACCTTCTCAGGTAGTGACCGGTGTAGAGCGCTGGTTTCTCCAATTTTAAAAACATTGCAATGCTTGAAGGTATCTTCGACAACGTATTTATTCCCACACACTGGCTGGTACATCTCCCATTATTGTAAAAAAACAAAAAAGCGGCTAGAACTAGTATTCTTTGGATAAGAATAATTTCCAGACCGTAGCAGAATTTTATATAAATAAAAATGTCCTTGGTGTATTCAGTCATAAATTTTATTTAATATCGTTAGCACCACACTACATATGTTTCGGAAAGCTTTGTTTCCATCTTCGGGTGCAGTCAAATTTTAAAAACATTAAAAAAACACATGGGGACGATTACAAACAGTTTCAAATTTTTAAAGTACCAGAAACCCCATCTTTTTGTTTCAATGTGTCAATGTTTCAAACTATTTAAAAAATTAGCTTTTATTTTATTTACATTTCTGATTTGTTTAAATTACTTTTCTGTAAAGTTATCAGATATGTCCTGTTTAGTTCAATTAAATCAAAAATGTTTAGAATATGAATTGATATGTTAATAACAAAAATATGATAAAGAATAACATCACACATAACTCTTCTTCTATTATCATAAATAACAGGATTATACCTTAAATTACAAGAGCTTCCTTCTATAAAATATCCCCCAGAAACTCCGACTATGCTCAAAATATAATCGGCTCACTACAGGTTGGATTAAAGCTTAAGTTTTTTCTTTATTCGTTTTTCTGAGTTATCATGTATACAGACTCAGAGACAGACATACATTTTCGCGAAAATGAGCAAAATGGATTCAGAGGATTCCAGAAAGTAAAGACCCGTTAAAAACTTGAGGTCGAAAAAATCATGATTCCTATAGTTTCCTTACAGGAAAGTAAAAAATAAATAATTTATATAACCATATTGTAATTATAATATTATAATTAGGTATCCAATTATTTATAAATTTAACTAGAAAATTGATTAAAAATGTAGAAAAAGTGAATAATTACATAAACCCTTTATTAGTATAAAATTCCAAGCAATGCATATATATTAAGCATAAATTATTTTGAACAAAAAGTTATCGGTTTAATTTTGTATTAATAGTTAAATGAAGTGTATTTTATAATTAAAAATTAGCCACGCTTTCGCGTTCAGAATTGACCGCATAACTTAATCAACAATGTCATAACAATTGGAAATTTAAATATTCATACTGTACTGTAATTTTATTCGTGCATGTATTTTTAATCAGTTTGATAAAATTAAGACATACGATTAATAGAAAACCCATTAAATGTAGATACTTGATAGATAATGGACTATAACAGTCAAATTTTTTTATTACTCCATTTTACATTTGACCACTTATAAATTACTTTAGTAAATTTTTTCCGTTTCAGATATCACTAAAGACCGAAGAAATAATGATTAAAGTTGAAAATTTTATGTCCCTTATGTTCCGTGACGTGTACCAATAAATTCAGAAAATTTAAATTTTGTTTCCAAATGCCTACTTTAATTTTCCTATTAATCCTATCCCTGTGTGTATTGTAGGAAGAGTGAAATAGAAAAATAATTAGGTGTTCTTTTTTTAACAATTCTGGACCATGCATTCAGTAGTGTTTCAACAAAATAAAAAGGGTAGCGTCGATTAAAATTTACTAATAGTATATTTAAAAAGTTTTGTAGTTGTTAATGTGAATTTTAAATAAATAATAATACCTATAATAAAAGTTGAATGTTTTTTTACTTGGACGGGCAGTAAAATTGGTTACAAACCTAAACCGCTTGATTGCATTTAGGCGGTACCCCGCGCATACCGTCTATGTCTTAGCTGACACCTCTGGAAAGTTGGATCAAATTATGGGCAATATAAATACGTTGTTTAAATGTAAAAATATTTTAGGAGATGTTGATGTTTTACAAATAGCGTCCTCTTTTTTAAGTTGGCTATTAGATGTTGGTAGTCATGTAATTTATATACCTCAACCATTAAGAGATACTAAAGAATAGTGTGCTTTATTACCTGTAGGTGGATCTAGTATTTTTACAACTACTGAGTTAAAGTGGAATAGAGAAATAAAAATGGAAATGTCAAATCAAATGATGTTGATCAGGTGTAGTTACAATTTTTCTAAGACTCGTAAATGATGAGAAACCGCATCTAATAAATTTCTTATTGAAATATGCGCCTGCTTTGGAACTTCTGGTAAGTTAAACAGTAAACTCTTTACATGGTAAATAACAATATGTCTTACAAGAAATCTATGGAGGTCAAGATCTAGTGAAACATAGCAGAGTTTTTTTGACCTATATAAACCGCTAGTGCTTGATCGTAAAGATTTAACAGGTGCACAAAAATTAATTTATTTAAAGGGTTGTTGCAAAGAATTAGCTTTCAAAATAATCGAAAATGTTGATATTGTGGATGATAATACTAATTTTTATTAGTTATTTTCTTTTGTCTTGCAACAGTTCTTTTTCTTGGGTGGTAAATTGATCTTAGACTTTCTTGAAAGCTATCAAGGTCTCATTCAGACTGTTTTGATGTTCATATTGAAGATATTTCACTTTCTGTTTGTAGAATCTGAGTTCTTCCGCATTTTTTTCATCTGCTTCTTCAAGTTGTCTATTCCTGTTTTGCAGAGCGGCTTTTGTCGTCTCTAATTCGCTTCTAGTAATTTCCCAGTAGGTTCGAAATTTGTCCCTTTCGGTTTGAAAATAATTTCGTTCCTCACGTTCTCTATCGTTTGCTGCTTTTAGTTTATAAGCAAATTCTTCGAGTTCTTCTCGGCTAAATTTGGATGTTTCCACTCCATCAATCATTTTCCTCTTGTTGGCCATTTTGGTATATTTTTAGTACCATTTAGCGGTTTGAAAATATGATGGTAAAAGAAAACTTAACAAACCAAATGTCAAAAATTTCATACGTCAGTTTGAAACTAAAATTAATTCATACAATTCTGTATTATATTTCTATTTCTGAATCGTCTGTAAGTATTTAACATGAATCCTGGACTTGTGAAAGCCACTGATCTATATTATTTTACCGATGATTTTACCGGATAGAATATAGTCGCTTAAAAAGCGTTCCCAAAAATTGGCCGATTTGGCAAATAATATGGCGGGCCGGATGTTATTTAACATAACCTCTATTTCCATTTGTCATTTAATTGTATCGACCCACATACTTTGATTACTATACGAGGCAAGAGAGAGGTCCGACACGCCCAACATAGGGCGCGGCCATTTTGAACCCTGTGACACAGTTTACAGCTAAAGAATCTCAATGTTTCAGTTTATACACTGTGCAACTCTGGTTAAAACGACTAAACCGACAATTCCGGAAGCAGAAGCGGATGATTAAAACGCACCTGATATTTTGCTTGCTGCTGTCAGTGTCAGTGAATATTATTTTTGAAGTCACAGTTTATTGCTAAAGAATCAGTTAGCTCACTCGGACCAGTTGAAAGTTCCAAAATAACATCCACTCCAGGGATACAAATTCAGGATACGCAGAATACTGTTTTATTATAGGCGGTTGTCATATATTGTATTATTCGAGTTGCACAGTGTATAAACTGAAACATTGAGATCAAAAGAGCCGACGCAGAGTGAGCGATCTGATTCTTTAGCTGTAAACTGTGTCACAGGGTTCAAAAGGGCCGCGCCCTATGTTGGCCGTGTCGGACCTCTCTCTTGCCTCGAATAGTAATCAAAGTATGTGGTGTCGACAAATTGCGATGAAGACGTGTTTTTATTGTGGAAAACGAAAAAAGTATCCGTACTCTTCATAGGTAAACAAAACTATTATATTTATAATAATTTGTTAATAGATCTATTTTGTCGAAACAAACTGAAACAATCTACACATTATTATACAAACATACTAGAATACAAATAATTTTCGATTAAATGAGAAAATTAAAGCGACTTTAAACGATTATTACTAAATTAAATAATGTTATTACTACAGAATTGTAGCTTTGGGGGAAATGGCTGAATAGTATGGATATGAACAATTGTAAGTGCAGAAATGTTCCCCCAAAACCGATGAGGAATAATTGAAGGGAATGTTTCCCCAATACCGATGGGAAATATTGTTTAACCAAGTAGTTGAAAAAAGTTTTGATCGAAAACACTCTTCATAAGCACATGCAAGTAATGGTTGGTATTTTTGTTGAGTAACAATTATATTGCTTAGTTCACTGGAAGTCGGGTTTGGGGTTGAGGACTTTCCTGCAGAGTGAGGTCAAAGCTGAGTTTTTAGGCATTTCTTTATTAATCATGTAGAACTTAGAGGCAAAGTAATTTTCAAATCTTATGGTAATGCATTTCAAATATTACTTTATATCTTTTTTACATTAATAAAAATATTACATTATACATGTTTATTTTTCACCTTTTCCAATGATTTTATTTAAAATATATATAAATTAATGTTTGCATAATTGTAAAAATTATACAAAACCCTTAAATTTGTTCTTTATTAATTTGTAAATTACATTAAATAGTCTTCACAAAATTTAAGTCAACAGTATTTACTAGAATCTTACGATTGTAAAAATTGTTAAAAGTTTATTTTTTTAAAACAATTTTTGAATCTATATATATTTATGAGTTGAACAAATTTCAATGTGATTTTTGTAGTGTAAAAATGGTTAAAGAGAGTAAAAAACCATCTTTTAATCTAAAAGAATTAGAAATGTTAATTAAAATTTCAAACAGTGGTAATAATCGGTAAATTTTGTTAGCTTTCCTAGACAAGTGTAGATAATTTAAAATATATTTCAACATCTATATTATTAAAATTAACTTTGTAAATATAATTTACCTACCTACATTATCTAGCAAAATTCTTAATATAAATCATGCGTCTGAAAACATCACTAGATCAGTTTCAATTCTAATCGCTTTAGTTACATGTATCCATGTTGTTCCATCAGTTAAGCATTTTCACAGGTATTGTTTAGATCTTCTACATCTTTTAACCATATTTATATCCATGTTCTTCCTGGTTTTATTGTAACAATGGCAAACTCACTTATTCTCGTTTCATAATTGTTGCCTAAAGTGATTCGACCATCTAGATATGTAGTTCTAGCTCAAGGCTGTCGTTTCTATTATCAATATCTCCTTTTACATAACAATTTTGGGTCCGCTAACACTTATTTACAAAAAAATGTTTACCTTAAAATCCTTAAAATTTGTTGTCGGGTCTCCATCATAAAAAAATGTGAAATAAACCATTTTCACTGATTTCTTGTTGTAGAAACGGCTAAATATCAATATAAGACCATTCATAGAGCCAAATTTTTTCATAAACGATAAAATTTTCTTATTTTTCATTTTTAGTTTGTTAGAAAAACAAATAAACATTACATTATTTTCAATGACAATTGATGTGTTTAGTTTCTATAAATGCGGTGTTGCCAAATCGAGTAAGGAAACATATAAGTCAGGAAATAATTCGGTTAGTGAAAGTTGGCTGAAAAATTACATAGTGCAGGTAAATTTGGATCTCGAAGTGAAAACATTTGTAGTAATCACAGACAACCGTCTTTTTATTTCATTTCATGATGATTGTACGTTAATTACGGCATGTCGGTACTTATTTAACAAAAAAAATTTTGTTTCAATTTGAGTTGTGCCAGGCCGTTGGAGTTTATGCCGGTCGGCGTAGCCAGGTATGGTTTACAAATTTGCTGCCACCTTACAAGAAGTCGTTCCTTCATTTTCTTATTGTTAATTTTCTTATTATTAGATGTCAACAATACAAGACACGTTCGTTAAAAGTTGGGATCGAGGTTCACTGGCCAGATGCTAATGAGGGTTGGTAGGTTAGGTTGGGTTTTTTTTAATTTGAGCTGTGTCCAGGCCGCTGGAGTCTAAACCGGTCGGCGTAGCCAGGTATGGGTTAAAATTTTCTGTTAGCGGCTAAGCCGCCACCCTACAAGAAGTCGTTGCTTCGTCTACTTATTGTATATTTTCTTATTATTAGATGCCCACGATACAAGACACGTTTGTTGAAAGTTGGGATCGAGGTTCACTGGCCAGATGCTAATGAGGGTTGGTTAGGTTAGGTTTTTTTTTTAATTTGAGCGGTGTCCAGGCCGTTGGAGTTTATGCCGGTTGGCGTAGCCACGTATGGTTTAAAAAATGTCTACAAGAAGTCGTTGCTTCGTCTACTTATTGTATATTTTCTTATTATTAGATGCCTACGATAAATATACGTTCGTAAAAGTTGGGATTGAAGTTCACTGGCCAGACGCTAATGAGGGTTGGTTAGGTTAGGTTTTTTGTTTCAATTTGAGTTGTGCCAGGCCGTTGGAGTTTATGCCGGTCGGCGTAGCCAGGTATGGTTTACAAATTTTCTGCCACCCTACAAGAAGTCGTTGCTTCATTTTCTTATTGTATATTTTCATATTATTAGATACCCACGATACAAGACACGTTCGTTAAAAGTTGGGATCGAGTTTCACTGGCCAGACGCTAATAAGGGTTGGCTAGGTTAGGTTTTTTTTTAATTTTAGCTGTGTCCAGGCCGTTGGAGTCTATGCTGGTCGGCGTAGCCAGGTATGGGTTAAAATTTACAAGAAATCGTTGCTTCTTCTTATTGTATATTGTTAGTTTAGGTTAGGTTCGGTTAGGTTAGGTCGTCGAAGAGTACTCTGCCGATGAGGGTGAGGAAGAAGATCTTGATATGGGTATTTTTTAAATCGTTAGTTTTATATAATTTTTCTGATACTGAAGTCAATTGGTTGGCCTGGTACAACGCAGGGCATAGGTAAAAATTACCATTGCTATGTAATAAATAATTGATATGGCAACATTATATTTCTTTTAGACATATGTCACACTGCAAATCTTAATTGTCATAGTCTTTACGAAAATTAAAAAATTCCGACGATCCTAAACATGAGCTTAAATTAAAAAAATTAACTGTTTACGAAAAAATTTGGATGGTTTATTGCATTATGAACGGTCTAGTGTTATTATTTAGCAGTTTCTATAACAAGAAATTAATCAAAATTTTTCAGCATCGAAATTGGAGGACACATTTTAATAGTTTTAAGGTAAGAAAAAAAAAATATTTTATAGCGTTTGCAGGGAAAAAAGTATTTTAAAATGTGTTTCAAAAGGTCTAAAATCGTTAAAAAAAAAATAGCTCGTTCGACCGTCGGCGGATTTTTCCAAAAATCCTTAGTGCAATTTTAAGAATTTTTCTTTCCACCATAGGTACTTTAGAACTGTTCCTTTATTTGCTATTTACGTAGATAGTATTGGACATTATTAGGCATTCCAACGACCTGTCAAAATGCTGTCAAGTGGGAATTGACAATTTAGATATGACAACACTGTGGGCCTGTTGTCATTAATAGGGTCAATGATACATGCATAGTTATATAGATTGATCAAAGCCGCTGGTTTACGCTCAAATCGGCCAACAGTGTTGCACTTCCGATCTCCTTGGTGGAATGGATTTTTAAAATTTTCAATACAGCCTATATCCTATCCAGTAAAATAATACAGATAAGTAGTGAAAGATGATTAAGCTAATTTAAAAACGTCAACAAACGTTAAATAAAACTTCACAGAAGAAAAATACAAACCACTGAAGTAATTATAATTATTCTATAGGGTGAATTACGGAGGGAAATTTAATCAAAAATGCTTTTTCAATCCCAATTTTCTTCTAAATGTTTAATAAAAAGGATAAAGCAATGTTTTCCTATTAAAATAAATGCTATTATTAACTATTTCGAAGTAAATAAGATTGAAAATTCCGATGCGTTTTTTTTTTTTTAATTTGGTGTCATCGGCGTCGACTACTACGGCCATTA